ATTTAAGGACTAAGAGCTTTAAATGGTACACTGATTTTTTTATACCCAAGAATGTTTTCTGACACAATGTGTGGAATAATTACCCAGAAGAGCAGGTTGAAGAGGAACAGCATGTATTTCACGCAGCAGATGCAACCACGGGCCATGACTGAATCGACATGCTACAAAAAGCAACATGCAAGTTTAATAAATGGTCTTGATGAAAAATGAAATGCAACACTGCCTGTATATTTATATCGCAGCTGATGATTCACATACGTTATCATCTGTGGTCAAACATTATGCAGAAATAAAGTATGATTTCTGACTAAAATCATGTAAATCTAAACCAAAACACATCATACAACTATTCTCCAGTACATCAGGCTTTATTCAGTGAACATTTTCACCTAGCTTCCATCCATCTGGGTAATGTCTTCAAGTTGTTTCCATTTTCCTTAAACTGCATACAATATGTGATCAACATGTCACCAAACATGACAGGTAAAACAGTTATGGCTATGGGCCTAATATTTAATAATAATGATGATAAAACAAGTCAGTACCTCTCACTGATTTATGTGCCACATCAGGTAGAGGTGTTAAACACCAGCGTCATCATGATACGATCCTTTATCAAATCTCTGCCAGGAATCTGATGTTTGCCAATACTTCAGGAAAAAAAAAAGTGGTTTTGATTTGATTCAGGGGCCTGAGATTGATATTACCTGCCTTTTTCATACAATTATATTTTTTATAAACTGCTACAAGTATAATTTCAAATTTTTATTTAGCTCCTCTGTTCACTTTGACCTTCCAATTCAACCAACTTTTTTGAGATAGGAAGCCTTTATACTGTCACACATAAAATCCAGAATACTTCCATATCCATGACTTTTTTGTATTTACTGAGATGAAAAGTCCATTCTAATGTGAAGGACAGATATTTAAGGTGAAATGCTGATCATGGCTGTATATAAGGCATCTGGAAATAACCCAAAGACATCACCCCAACGAAGGCAAGATGTGTGAAAACATGCATAAAGTGCAAAGTACTGAAGACAGGTTGTGTGCCATGTTTTGATTTGGATGGATTTGCATTGGTTTGCATTTCTGTGTGTGTGTGTGTGTGTATGTGTGTGTGTGTGTGTGTGTTTTCTCATACGACGTAATACTATAAATTACATTATAAATCATAACTGGCTAGGATTGAGGGTTTTTTGGAAACATTCTCCATCTAATAAAGGGTGTTTGTGTCACACAGATCCCAAAATGAGACATCATAGTTCACAAACCACTTTGTTTCCCATCATGTCACATGAAATGCTCACAGTTTTCTTTCTGGAGACTCAGGCTGCAATCTCATCACAACAAGGAAGAGATAGACTTACCACTTCAACAAGCAGGAGACTGGAGATGCTGTACTGGAACACCTGCAACACCAAGTGTTAATATTGTATATTAAATAATAAAAACAAGCTCTGCTGAATCTTATTAGTTTAAACTTAACACATATACATGGAGATGATTCCTTTGCATCATATTAATTTTACTGCCATTTATAAGAAAATTTTTAGATGCAAATTTGGACTTGATTGACACAACAATGCCCCATGAACTCACAGAAAGGGCTAAAACAGAAAACACTAGCAATTACTTTCATCAGTGATTAGTCTGTTGACTATTTTCTTGGTTATCTGATTAGTTGTGTGTCAATAAACAGGGAAAATGTTTATCATGCTTTCCCAGATGCCAAGGTGACGTCTTTAAACTGCTATTATTATCCAACAGTCCAAAAACCAAAGACATTACATTACTGTATCTTCTACCTTTTATGCTTTGGTATTATTGAGTTAACCTAAAATATTATGTCGAATGGAGTCTGTGTTGGTAATACTTTTAAAGTTGTCAATTTCACCCCTGTAAAAAACTAAATGTAACTAATTAAAGGGTGATTTTAGATTGTTTAAATAGCACTATGCTGTGTGCCTTAAGCAGAAAAGTAGGAATCCATTATATTTTTGGAGGAAAACCAGTCAGTCACACCATATGACCCTTTTTCCCTGTTGTATAAAAAAAAAATTGAGGTAAAAATACTAAATGAACCATAGTAACATACGTTCCTGAATAGAACAGATACAGGCTCTGTAATTAAGGAGTTTTCCTGGTTACTTTTTGAGATTTTTTTAAAGTCATATTTCTGCTTATTTGTCAGCTATTCAGTAGATAAAAAAATCAGTATCTCCTCACTTCTGAGAAGCGGAGGCCAGAAACTGCCAAATGCCACGAAACCACTAAAGAGAGACACAAAATGATTAGAGAAACAGAGAATGATAACAGGCAGCAAAACCACGAGAATAATATAAAAAGGTTACAAAATACAAACAAATGGAAAGAAAATAAAAAAAACCCTAAAACTAATGCAAAGCAACAAAAAACAGAAAACAAGTACAAAATACTACAAAGTCATTCAAAAGAAGTAAAAACGGCCACAAAACAACTACAAAACGACACTACCGGACTACAAACCAATCACTCTTCTGGTCTAGACGTGACGTCACTGCTTTAGACTTCGGTCCGCGGTTTTACAAAAGTTTGCACTAAAAAGAAACTAACAAAATACACACAAGCGTGCGCTTCAGGTCTAGACGTGACGTAACTGCTCTAGACTTCGGTCCGCGGTTTTACAAAAGTTTGCACTAAAAAGAAACTAACAAAATACACACAAGCGTGCGTGTTAAATCCACTAACTTGTATTTTATTGATAACACAAGACGTTGGTGCTCGCCTCCAGACGATTGAACCACTTCACAACGGCTCAGACCGTGATTGTTTTCATGTCCATGCCTCCAGAAAGGACACAAGGAAAAAAACATGGATAGTTTCCTACCTTTGATTAAGAGCTGGAGCTCATCTTCCCGCTAATCTCTTCGCGTTTCACGGGCAGAAGATTTCACATTCCGGCTCTTGCTGCTTTCTCACAGCATTAGGTGAATCCGACAGTTTTAAAATGTGAAGTCAGCGCTGAAATTTTGTCCACGGCTGGACGACAGGAAATGGAGGTCTTCTTCGGTGGGGAAAAAGCTTCTGGAGAAGGTGGAGCACATGGGGGCGGAGCCAGAATGCGGTCGGTAGGGTAGAGAGAGACCGGCTGGGCAAAGACCCCGTGTGCGGAATGTAACTGTTAACCCTCTATGGCAGGAATTTTTATTTTAGGAGGAAACAAATATTTCACTCTAGTTTTTGGGAGCTTGGGGGTCCCTGATAATATATCAATCATAAAATGCTATAAGGGTACTAAAACACCAAGGTTTTCTATATTATATAATAAGTGGGATGAGGAACAAACAAGCAATAAATACATTAGAAGATGTTTTATTTCAACAACAACAACAACAATTCCAACAAGTTTGATTTAAAAAATTCAGAAATTTCCTCACTGCAAAGTACCTACCTTTCAACAAACATCAGCCATAAATGGTTTATCAGTCAGTGGCTTAGAGATTAGCTGCAGTGTGTGTTTGTGTTACTGAATGTGTGTTCCTGTGGAGTACTGTTTCTCTTTTTTTTTTACAAAGCACAGTCTGTATTATTCTGTATGCAATATACAACTTGAACATATGAAGCTTCATCTGTTCCTCTTTTCTCATCGGAGTGCTGCTGCAGTCTTGTAGAGCAGCCAGGTAGTCACGATGATCATGTCAATGAAGTGGAACATCAGCCGGTTGTCATCAGACAATCTGTTTTCAAAAGAACAATATACAACTTGAACATATGAAGCTTCATCTGTTCCTCTTTTCTCATCGGAGTGCTGCTGCAGTCTTGTAGAGCAGCCAGGTAGTCACGATGATCATGTCAATGAAGTGGAACATCAGCCGGTTGTCATCAGACAATCTGTTTTCAAAAGAAACCAGGAAGCATAAGATTAGAATAGGTCATATACCTCTCTTCACCCACTGATGCACACACACACACACACACACACACACACACACACACGTTCATTACATACAGTATGTTACTCTACTGACTGAACCCTGAACTCCTAACTCTCCCTCAAACCTGATTCTGGGGTCCACTCCTCCTCACTGCCACTCTCCTCAAGCTCACTGTCCTCACTGTTGGTAGGAATGAGCCTAACTGCTCGATCATGTTCCTTACACCCATAAAATGTTCATGCACCCATTTCCTGTGAGTAATAGTAAATAGTACAGCAAAAAATTGTCTATGGTGATAACTATGCATCCCTGCACATCTCCATTCATTAGCATGTTATTGTTCACACAAAAGTGGTCTAACTACACAATGTTGCCCTGAGACAACGAATGAAAAACTACCATTTTAGTATATAAATAAAGACAAAAGATGTCTTTACTCAAATATGCTTCTTCACATATCCATGCACGTCACAGATATTATTTATACAAAGTTATTTAAATTTAAACATGTTAAAAAGTAAAATTTACCTTACCTTCTGCTAGCAGTGTGTCCAAGCTGGCTATGGTCCCAAAAAGTACTGTTCCACCTCCAGAGGAAAGGTCAAATTCACCCCCACCTCAAATTTCATTGGTCACAGACTTATCATCAGGCTTTTAATGTGATTTTTACTTTAAAAACATTTCAAGGGACGATGTGTGGGCCAAAATACTGGTTTGTTGCCTCAGGGCAACACCATGCCATAAAACAACAGTCTGTCAGGCTGAATCAAACTTATGGAGACAAATTGATGTGACAACTCAAGTCTTTTGGCCAAATAGTGCAGTCTACAACACAACCTCATAGACCTCAATGGAAGTATCTGCCCCAGACACCCCAACTAACCCGGCTTCTTTGCACATCGATTGGTTTTGGTAATTAGATTAACTGCACATTTGTTAGTGAGCTTGTGCCACTTAAGTACAACATGAACTAGATCCTATTATCAGCTGATTTCTGAGATATATACTGTACTTGGTAGCCAGCTGTGGAGACATAGGGAATGACAAGGGTCAGCACAGGATCCTAGTGTGACTGTCAGTGCCTAAACCCACCAGGCCCCTATAGCTAACTGTGTGGCCCTGTCTTGAAGAGGAGTAGTGAGTCAAAATCCATTGTTAAGACTGTATTTTTTTGTTTATCGTGCATATTTCTATAAGTGTGTCTTTTATTCAATTATAAGAGACTAAATGACATGGAAAATCTTGGACTGAGAAGCTGGCAAGTAGCTTGCTGGTCACCTGTGCAGACTATTGCTTTTAATCTGGCTATGATGGAAGACAGTACAGTTAACAACAAACCACCACGCTCGTTCATTTTATTACTTATATCTGTGCTTTTTCTTCAGTGGGCCTTCTTTGAAAAAGGCCCATATTGTACCTGTCGCACATGACATGTACGTGAATTCTAAACATCCACACACAAATTCCAAAGCCAAACAGAGCTTTAATAAAGGTCCCTCATTATAACATTGATATAAATACATGACTGTGAACAGAAAATACCAAATCAAAATACAAAATATACAAAAAACATTAAAAGTGTGTTTGTCAGTTGCCACCCATTGGCTTCTGTTAAAGCAGGAGTGTTTCCTGTCTTCAGGGATCGAGGAGTAAAAGCCAGTTTTTACCAGCATCATAGTGGCAACCATTCTCCCGTGAAAACTGGGGCCTGGATTGGTGCCCCCAACAATGAAGTGAGGGCTTAAAGGACACATAAGGAGGTAGACAGTCACACTCCTACATTATATTCTGCTGGTTTACCCCAGGACCCATCTATCAGGCTGGGATGAGTTCAACTGCACTGATTCACTGCTCTCTCCATCCCCGTGCTGAAATACATACATATTATAGATGTTAGTTGGTAAATCAGTCACTGTACTACAAATCTTACATGTCTGACAGTTGTAGCCCTGAAGCAGTATTACAGTACTGGTGTACGTTTTAATTCATTAAAGCTAGAATGAATCTTTTTTCTAGTCATAATTCAAACCGCCATTGCTCTAAAAGCTGTTCGTATAAGTGAGGACATTTAATGTAAGGTTACCCACACAACATGGTGCAGCTCGCTCTAACAACTAAACATATTATTAAAAGAAGACATAGCATTGCATCCTTATTCAGCAACAGAATATACATTTGGACATAGGAAATAAAAACATCTGGGCTACCTTTAAGGCAGTTGGCCAAGCTGGAAGCCCTCTACATGTCTGTTGCATTAAAAAGACACCGCTATTACTACTGATATAAATAAGCACATATGATAGAATTAATTTTACTAAGAGTCTTATACTGTACTTGCTAATAGGACGGCAATAGATTACACTGCAGAACAAATTTGTCATGTAGTTCATCAATAACACCTAAAATGTGATTTTATCAAAATGAATAAAACAGTAGTTTGGGCAGGCATTTTATTGTTACTTGTTCCATCCACTATGATTTATTATAGCCCCCCCAATGTAGGTCCAAGACTCTCTGTATCTATAACACTAACAGAAAACCTGGGGCTTGACTGAAGCTGTGAGAATAAAGGACCCGTGAGAAGACTATGACAGATGTGCTTTGGAGCATCTGCTGGGAACATCTGGAGGCAGAGGGTGTGTCTGAGTACAAGCAAACTGTGAGGTAAAGTAGTCAACGTTCCTAAATACGGTTTATACTGACCTTGTTGGCGATGGCCCGGAGTTTTCCCAGCAGGGAGGGTTTCTGGGCGTAGACCACATCGTCATCAGGCTCCTCCCCTTCAGCCAGAGCACAGCTGTCTGCAGCTGGCAGCTCACACTCTTTGTTGGCAGACATCACCAGACGAGAGTACTTGTACTCCAGCCTGACCACAGACCACAGACTTTTTTTTTAGCATAGACAGCATCTTGTTTAGATGCGTGAAGACAGTTACTACATTCAGAACTTCATTCTGATGAGCTCTTTGGTTCATCTGTCTGAAAACCAGATAGGTTCTGCTGTCTCTCCAGCTGCTGCTTCATGTCATGTACCATGTTCACTTTCATTTCAATATCCTAAAATCTGCAGTGATAAAATCTTACTGGTGAAACCTCTAACTTCAGGACACCAAGATCAGCCATTTCTTTAGGTTAAAGCTGACTCTTTTAACATTATGGCTTCTTTCTGAGAATATTATCACTTCTAAAAAAAACTCTTTCATTCTAGAAACATTATGAATTTTTTCCTCCTAATTTCAGCTTTTTTTTTTAGAAAATGTACAGCTACTTTTTTCTTGACATCTTCTGACTTTATTCCAGAGAAAATGCAACCCTGTGTTTTTTACCCCTCAAAATATTTTCACTTTAAAAATTTTGTCATAAAATTTCAAATTTAATTTTCTTTAATATGACTATTTTTTCTCTTAAACTTTCCACTTTATTCTAGAAAAATGTTTCTAAAACATTAAAGCTTTCCAACTTCTAATATTATGACTTTTTCCTCAGTTTTTATTTCTCAATATTTTCTCATAAATGTTTGGCATCAGTGGCCCTAAATGAAAAATCAAAATGATTCTTCCAGACCTTTCCTCTTCTGAAGCAGCATTTAGACCAAGTATTCTGAGGAGTCACAAGATAATTAGGGAGATAAAAGGAAAGGTTTTCACTTCTTCAGGCCTCTGAACCTCCTTCAAAGCAAACTAATTATTCAACTTGTGTTTTATGCAGGCCATAACCACAAAAGGCCACAAGTAAACTTTGCTTCAGACACCTGTTAAAACTCAGGATCATAAGGCTAAACACACACACACAAAAAAAGAAAAACATGACTCAGTCATCAAAATCTAGAAAAACATGGAGTATTATTCATGTGTGCGTAACGTTCTTTCTTAAAATAGCTGAGTCGGTCTTTACTGCCACTGACAAACAGCTGCTTTACCTATAAACAACAATTCAACTATGTTGTTCTGGCCTGAGAGTGATCCTGTCTAATTGGCAGGTGCCTCTGACCTCTTGTTTTTCTTCCAGAAATAGCAGGTTAGGGAGATGAGCAGCACGGCCACGAAGGCTCCGCCTCCAACCCCGACCTTCAGCCACAGGGCGATGGCCTCACAAGGGGACGAGCTCCGAGGAGGCAATGACACTCCTTTGGTGCACAGCTTTGGCTCGTTCCACACATACAGAATCTCCTGGAGAGAGAGGAGACAAATGGAAACTATCTGCATCTTCTTTGTTTAAACAGCAAAACTCAAATGAAGCTTAAGGATATCTGATGGGTCTTCTGTTCCATTTCTATGCAGACGAGGTTATTTGGGTCTGATGAGTAATATCCAGTAAAGTGGAAGAACAAACTCAGTTTAGGCTTTGGGGACACTATTAATTTTTCAGCTGACTGTGATTTAGTTTTAGCCATGAAAGACAAGTTAGTGTGGGTTGACTCAATTAACTTTGTTTATGCATGTAATTATTGACCCAAGGGCACATAAAAAAAATCTAAACAGTACTTCTGGATATTGTTCTGGAGTTTGGTAGCTTTATATTGGATTTCGTGTACAGTCTGAGAATTGAAGCTGCACATCAAACATAATTAATAATCAATCTCTTATCAAACCTATCGCTTTTTAGTTACATTAGTTAATTAACAAGATATCTTAGATTACATTAGTTATTATCCAAGTGACTCTCTGCACAGCTTGTACACTTGATCATCTGAAGGTTAAGGTAATGTTAGATACAAGTACTGTAATACTAATGTCTGTATGTGTGTGTGATTCACTGTTATTTAGCTTATCATTATCTTCTTATTGTGCCCCCAGAGACACAGTATTGAGCTGTTCATCTGGAGAAAACCAGGTGTGAAGTGTATGTGTGCTGTGATACCTGCACGCCTCCCTTGCATGCTCCCTCTATCTGGTGGTAGTTGTCCTCGGTGCAGCGTGGACAAGCGCTGACACTTTCCCACAAGAAGTGAAATGTGCATCCGTCACATGTTCCTGCAGGACAGGAGCTGCACAAGACACAGAGAATATCTCGCAGACTTTATTTTCATCTTCTTACATGATCTTATTTCTCATGTTTTATGGCTTGTAGCATTTTCATATTATTTTTGTCCCATTATGTTCTACTTTCATGTTATTTATCATTTTCTGAACCCTGCAGAGGTGCAATAAAAACCTGTATTTTCATTTATATAATACTGTGGTTGTACTATAGTCACGCTTGTATCAAAGTACTTAAGAACAGATCATTATGACTTGCCTGGGCACAGAGAGGTCACCACGTTCAGACTTCTCTGGGTTACAGCGAACAGTAATGACTGAACTCCGACCCTGATCACATGATGCTGTTGCCTGGGTTGACCTGAAGGGAAAACGTTTTGTCAGGACTTAACTCTGCCTTTTGTATTCTTGGGTGAACCTATATTTAGACCCGGTGTTCATTCTTTTGGCTTTAAACTCTTTATTTGACTCCAGGAGAGCCCTGCACAATAATTCCTATATGTCTGTTTATGCATAAATGGCAAGTAAAAATCTTGAATCTTTTATACTGCACCTGTAGAAGAAGTTAATGTCTGGAACAGCCTTCGAGTTTTCTGGGAAAAGATCTGGCTTTGCGTTCACACCGTTCAGGACGGTGTCTACTGTCGCTCCTAGAAAAAGAAAACAGAGACACACATGTTAAAAACAGCACTGTTGATCATAGGGCCCCATTCTGCAAGTTAACAGGCAGCGTACCAATGAAAGTGTCTGCAAGGCTGATGGACTGAGAGGAAATGGCCATCCTGAAACCCCGCCCATCTGCTGGTATGATGGTTGATTGACAGATGAAGCTGTCCACTGAGTTTACAAACTGAGCCGAGTTGCTGTGGTCATCTTTGCTGGACACATCAGTTACGTTATCTTTGCAGACAGCAGCTCTCTTGCCCTGTAGCAGACATGCAAACGTGTAAATGATCTGTTAGTTGCTGTAGTTAGGCTTGATATTTTTCCTGCAGCTTATCATTTTATCCCACTGAGGTGACGGGACTGTCTGTGATAAAGCCTGATTTCTATTTACAGTTTCTAATTGATCTTCAAAACAAGAAATGAAAATTGTCAATTTATACTGTAACTGGAATATTTAATGTAGCCTGGTGGAAATACAGCCACAATACATGACCGTTAACTTAATACAGCACTTTTTTGATCATGTTTTTGCATTTGCAGAATATAATTCTAAAGCCTAGAACATGAAGAAAAAACTATTTAGTACAAATACCAGCCTAACAATATAAGTTTTCTTATGAGGCTAAAACTAAGGTCATTGGGATTTTTATGTGTAGGCTGTGTTTATGTATTTAAATCACTGCTTTTCAAAGTAATTATACTGAGGAATATTCCTTTGTTGCTGATTCATGTGTCTGAATAATTCTACGAGTTTGTGTCAGTGACCACACTCATTCATACAGTAGTTGTACGAACGTCTGAGTAATGGTGACACAAACAAATCCAGCCACAAAAAGGATGTATTTATAAAAAAGTGAGAGCGATGTCTGGATGAAACTGGACGTGTGTGAATTACCTCATGGCCACACAGGCTGATGTTGAACAGGTGAAGGTACTTTGTGCCTTTGGAGGTGAAACTGGGCCCGATGGTGAGCGAGGCCATGTCGCTCAGAGTGCTGAGGTCAAAGGTCAGTGTGCTGTTGTTCTCCGTGTGCGAGAAGGAGCAGTCGCTGTAGCAGCGGGAGTGCTCCTGAAAGAAAAGGAAACACGGAATCTCAAACCACTGGCTGTTAATTACAAACACAATATTCATTATTCATTTGCTATGTAACATTTTTGTCTAAGCAGGTTGTGATTTTTTAAATTTGTCTAATGTAACATTAGTTATCTGTGCTTTATGAAAGCAGTATCCAGCTGTGAAATTTACAGACATCTTTACTAAGTTAACAGGGTTTTTGTTCTTGAAAATATATTTCATGTCCAAATCAATTCTTTAGTGGCTCAGGACCTGAAAAAGGACGTTTATAAACCTTATCTGGCTCATGACACTACATATTTATCCCCAAATCATCATGACCACTTTTTAAAATATATTTTAAAGGACGCATATTATTCTAGATTTACTCCTAGAACTTTTTATGACATTCACAGGGGTCTCTGGCGTGTGTAGAGAAACACAAAACACGAGAAAAGAGCAGTCTGGAATCTATGACACAGCTTGGAGTTGGCCAGGCGGCACCTGGTCAGCGCTGTGGGAGTTGACCAATCAGAGCAGACTGGGCTTTTAGGGAAGGGGGCCAGGAGCTAAACACAGTGTGTTCACACAGAGGGGAAAAGAGGGTCCAGTGTTACTAGTGCTCTGAGGAAAACTTCTGATGTTTATGAACATACAAGGGTGTAAACTCTTTATAGCAGTAATTCTTAGTAATTTACTGTGGCCCCGCTTACACTTCCAAAACCCCATAGTTGAGAAGCAATAGTCATTTTTATACTGAGATCCTGCACTATTACACCGCTAAGGGCACTATAATCATGAGCTGGCCTGTGAACTCAGACAGTAGGCCAACATTCTGCACCAGAGGCGAGACGCCGGTGACAGTGTCACGTACATATTATGTCGCCAATACATAGGACTTGGTCCCGGACTGCCGGCTCACCCTTTCTACACAGAGCATCTCTCCCCTTTGTTCCACCTCTGGTACTACCTCCCAAGGTGAACCAGAGGTGGAACGAAAATTCTGGCTTTGCGTGTAACACAGAAAATGAGTCGGAATAGAAGCGCGCCAATCCCGCCTTGAAAAGGTAGTGTGTAAGGGGCTGGCTTAAACAAATGACCACGCATTCAGTACCCCCCCACCCGCCAATATCCAGTGGGGGGTAGGGGAGCAGTTGTGTTCAGGCATAATATTCAGGCAACCGTGTCTAGTGTGAGTACGCCCCAACATTTTGTAGAAAAACCAATTTATATTTCTCAACATAATGTATCAAAAATGTAGAGGAGGTGCCTTGTTGCTAATGCTTCCAGGGCCACATGTAACACACGCATCCTGGCCGTAGGTGTGTCGCCCTGTCAGGTGTGTGTTGGGCGGGCACTCCTGGCAGCGGTTGGTGTCTCTGTCGATGTAAAACCCAGCAGGGCAGGGAACACATGAAGAGCCAGCGTGCTGGGAGTTCTGGGGAACCAGAGCGCAGGCCCGACAGGCTGACGCCACCCCGTCCAGCACGTTTGTCACACTGATGGAGTACAGCTTCACCGTGTCACTGACATACCGACGCACCTACAAACATACACACAGGAAAAGAACAAACATATGCTGACTTGCTCACTAAAGCTTTAGGATTTATCCTCTGGGGTGATGACTGTGTATGCAAAATGTCACAGCAAGTTGTCAAATAGTTGCTGAGATATTTCACTGGGCTGAAGCCATGATGTGTTGCCACTATTGTGTGTGCTTTCACGCACATCGAGAGCATGGTTAGTCCTCTGGAAAGCCCACGTGAATGTGACAGAGGCGTTCCTGGTCATGCTGTGTGAATACGACTGTTTCCCCTTGCTGCCTTCCCACGACTCCACCACTGTGGTGCTCTTCCTGTTCACATCCTGCAGGGGGCATCATAGCAAAACAAACAGATGGGAAGAAAACAACAATATAAGGATAATCACCTTTATTTGGCCAAGTATGTTACACACAAGGAATTTGTTTCTGGTACAGAACCGATGGCAGCCATCTGTGGCCCCAACTCAACCGATGGCTCTAACCATTGGGGGCAACTTGGGGGTTCAGTGTCAAGGACGTGCGAACTGCAGGGACCGTGATTCGAACCTCTAACCCTCCAGTTGGGAGACGACCGCTCTACCCACTGAACCACAGATGCCCCACAATGCACATATGCAGAACACTGTAATAAACCTCAGTGGGACAACATGACTATTCTTGCTTGCTGGTGAAATTAGTCACCTAATTACTATGTTCTACACACAACCAAGGACACACCATCATGAAGTAGAGCTCACAGTCGGCAGAGCAGATGGTCTCGAACACGAAGGTTATCTGGCCAAACTCACTGGCGGTCATACCAGACAGTGAGGCTGGGACCCTGCCACAGACACAGAAACACAGGCAGAGATGTAGTACATACACTTGAACATGATCCCACATTGTTCACATAGAAATATACATTCACAGGCCACTTTATTAGGTACGCCTGTACAATTATGCAATTCAATGCAACACATCTGCCTTAACATCTGTGTTTATGAAACTCAGAATGTTTCCGTTTTTGGTGAAATTGTTATTTCACCAGGTGGTGTTGTACTGGTCTACATTATCTTTGGAGGTGTGTCTATATTTTTGTCCTCTCCAACTACAAACATGAGAGGGCCAGAATATTAGGAACAATTTTAGCAGCTACAGTACTCTCTATATTTTCTCTGTTGAGACAACTGAGAAGTGCTGAGATCTCTTGAGTTTCTCTTTCTGTGGTGTTCAATCAAGGACAGACAAATCAAAATTCTTCCAAAAATAACCAGGTCTCTCCAGTTTCCAAGAAAGCACCTGTACTTACTTGAAGCCAGGCACATGCAGGCTGAGAATAAGATAATCATTATCTGAACTGCCAGCTCCACTGCGAATGTGGTCCCCTGCCACCTCCCATCCTGATGAACACACACCAAGTTAGTTCTGCATTACACATCTGTATATATATGGTGTTTTAAACTGCATAGTTTAAAATAATTATTTATTTATGTATTTGTGTGTATATGTACAGTGGGTACAGAAAGTATTCAGACCCCCTTAAATGTTTCACTCTTTGTTATATTGCAGCCATATGCTAAAATCATTTAAGTTCATTTTTTTCCTCATTAATGTACACACAGCACCCCATATTGACAGAAAAACACAGAATGTTTGACATTTTTGCAGATTTATTAAAAAAAGAAAAACTGAAATATCACATGCTAAAATTGTTCCAGGCACTGCTCATCACCTGTCCAATACAGTCCCAACAGTGAAGCATGGTGGTGGCAGCATCATGCTATGGGGGTGTTTTTCAGCTGCAGGGACAGGACGACTGGTTGCAATCGAGGGAAGGATGAATGCGGCCAAGTACAGGGATATCCTGGACGAAAACCTTCTCCAGAGTGCTCAGGACCTCAGACGGGGCCGAAGGTTCACCTTCCAACAAGACAACGACCCTAAGCACACAGCTAAAATAACGAAAGAGTGGCTTCACAACAACTCTGTGACTGTTCTTGAATGGCCCAGCCAGAGCCCTGACTTAAACCCAATTGAGCATCTCTGGAGAGACCTGAAAATGGCTGTCCACCAACGTTTACCATCCAACCTGACAGAACTGGAGAGGATCTGCAAGGAGGAATGGCAGAGGATCCCCAAATGCAGCTGTGAAAAACTTGTTGCATCATTCCCAAAAAAACTCATGGCTGTATTAGCTCAAAAGGCTGCTTCTACTAAATACTGAGCAAAGGGTCTGAATACTTATGACCATGTGATAGGAAAAGGGTGGCTTGTTCCCTTCAGGTTGGTGGAGAGTTCCTGCCTCAAGTGGAGGAGTTCAAGTATCTTGGGGTCTTGTTCACGAGTGAGGGAAGGATGGAACGGGAGATTGACAGGCGGATCGGTGCAGCTTCTGCAGTAATGCAATATTCTCTGTGCCTCAGGAACACAGGGTGTGCTCACCGTTCATGTCGTCACATTTGGAGTTGCCCACGTTGAAACAGGAAGTCTTCATGTTGGGAGGCAGCACATTCCACCATTTGTAATTATAGCCTAACACTGGCTCTGTACCTGCAGGGCACTCAACACAAACTGGCATGCACACACAAACATTTTATTTAGATATTACAGTGGCATTTTCTGGAGCTCATTATTGACACAAACTGGCATGCACACACACGCACACACAAAAATTTTATTTAGATAACACAGTGGCATTTTCTGGAGCTCATTATGTGGCCAGGTGAAGAGGCTTTTCAGAACATATGATTACTATGAATTAAAATGATACTATGAGGGAGTGGAACTTTGGACAGAGAAAGCTGAAGGTGACACAATAGTCTTCAGTTTTGTGGTTCTAAAATTTTTAAATGTGAGGATTTGCTGCTTTTCTTTGCCTCATATGACAGTGAACTAAATATCTTTGGGCTCTAAACTTTTGGTCAAGACACCTGTATACATCTATCCAATGTCTATCCAGCTGATCAGTCAATTCATCAAGAAAATAATTGGCAGATGTGTGCACATTTACCATAGGTGCCATCAGAGTGGGTTCCTGGAGGGCAGGGCAAACAGGTGGAGTCATTGCTGTTGTAGTAGCCAGGGTTGCAGGGAGGGCAGGGCTCTCTCTGCCCTGTTGGGGGCAGCTCTACAGCCCCGGTGATGTTTTCCACACAAATCTTTGGTTCCACCCAACGATATAACACCTCCGTCTGCAACCGACACAGTCAAGTAGATTCATATTATGAGAGAACAGAGGGACTTTTTCATGCTGATCACTTGGTAAATATTAAATATTTGTAGTTGTACTGTCAAAAGTCTTATTGAATACAACCTTAAAATGCTGTTGAATTGTTTTGTATGTTTATCTAAAGTAAACCCCATGAGAAAGAGGGTGTGTTTGTCCTTGTGAGGGTATGTGTGTGTGATATGTGAGATGCCGCTGACCTTCCCCTCGCTGTCGCAGGCTGTGTGGATCTGGAAGTAATCCTTCTCTGAGCACGGCGGCCGCACCTTACACTCTGCCCAGCCCTCATCTGAGAGAGGAATCAAACACAGAGCACAAAGAAATAAAACAGTATATGCAATATGCAGCACATCCACCGGCAGGGAGAGATGTGACACTGGCTAAATCAGCTTTTTGGCCTTGTACCTAATATAAATATAAAAAATTACCTTAACTGAATATTTTTTTGTCATTGACAGAATGTCTCTAATAATAATGGAAAAACGTGAAGGTTGTCCATCATTTGAAATGATGAGAGCACAGAGGGCAATTGACTGACTTAGGTTACTGAAAATCTATTGGCCGCAGTGTTTCTAGTGACTTCTACTGCAGGCTATACTGTGCTTTTAATCAATTTAAAATATATATTTGTTATTTTTAATGGGTCCATTTCCAGTTAAGTTTACTGTATAAAATGTCCTAGCATGTTATATTTACAGTTATTATGACAGTGAACAGTCAGTTATTTTAATCATGGTTTTTAGCTTGGCCTTGATTATGTGGCATTGTTGGTAGTTTTATTATTCTGATGTATGGTAAAGTATATTTTATTTTTAATAACCACGATTAGCTTTTATATGGATTATATAAACATTTAATAAACGGTATGATGTGTCCCACAGGATAATGCATGATAATACAGAAATAAATCACAATATAGTAATATAGTTGTAATATAGAATATAAGAATATTTAGGCCTATAATATAGAATATATGTCCTGTGTACAACTGTTTTCTTTTTTAATGTTTGTAACCTTTATTTAACCAGGTGAGTCCCATTGAGGCTGTCAAACCTCTTTTTCAAGGGAGACCTGAGAATTACAAGTTTCAGACAGGACCACATAACATCTTCCAGTTTCTCATGGTATTAACCACAAAAATCCCATATGACACTGCTTTATTATGCACCATCAAACTACTGTTAGGTAGGTGAGTATTAAAACAAAATTTAATTTTGCTGTTAGACCTTTCTAGATAAAATCTACCCACCTCTGTCTTGACCATTTTTGACATAATTCAGTCAACAACAACACAACCACAGTTTGTAAGAGTGCAGTGACTGAGACATCTACCTGAGGATGTGCTTTTATGATCTGATAGCTGCTGTTCTAACATGCGTACGTACGCGAATAGTAGTGTTCAGGGCAGCGCGTACAGAAGGACGCCCCCTTTATGGAGAAGCTGTTGCTGGGGCACGGCTGGCAGGATGAAGAGCCAGGGGTCGGGCTGAACCAGCCAGGTCGGCAGGGAAAGCACTCTGATGTGTAGGCCACACCTGGACATGTGTGTGGGCACACAGCAGCAGCATACATGGACAAAACCACACACACACAAAACAATCATTTTTATCCTTTTGAACTAGGGATAACTCTTGTACAGTTTCAAACAATTAACAACTGAGAATGAATTTTTCAGATTTCTTTAAATTCAGTACATCCACAGCAAATGTAACGCAGTTTAGCTCAGTTTGTGAATGTCTTGTTTTGTGTTTCAGTGCTTTACCCTCTATCTGGATGTTCTTGAGCAGCACAGGTTTGACCATCTTCCCTCCCACCAGGATGCCAGTGGTTCTCCAGTACAGGATGTTCATACCAGACTTCAGATTCACCTGAAGACAACAAATGACATGCACCCAGTAAAAAACACACACACACACACACACACAAAGGATTCCTACCAACACAAACAGAATCAAGCAGAATTACTGTGTGTGTGTCCCATTCTCCATTGATGGTGACTTTAATCCACTTCTGGTCATCGGCCTGGGCCATTTCCTGACACTGCTCATTCTGGACCTGAACACAAACGTAGTGGTTTTAGCGACAGCTGCTGCTCCTCACTCACCCACAGTAACTCCTACTAACTAATATGCTGGTTCATCACAGGATATATCAATTTTTTTAAGGCAAAAGCTGCAGCTAGAGGATATTCTAAGTTAAAAAACAGTATCTTTAATTCTTCAAGCTCTAAAAAATGTGAAGTTTAGTTCAAGATTTTGGGAAATCAGATGAGCAGATTGATACCGTTTTCATATCCACCTTATATTACATGGTAATTTGTGAACTGCAGATGTGCTGGTAACTTTGAACAGAACCAGCCCCTGCCCCGTTAGCTGCTGGCTGTCACCTCACCTTTAGCTTAGCCATGAGAGTGATCATGTATTTTCCAAAATATTAATTTATTCTGTCTTTTATGATGTAAAATCCCTTGAAACAGAAAGAGAAACTTCATAAATTAAGTACCTTAATTTTACTGCAACAATTTCAGACTGTTCTGGAAAATCCTCTGGGATATTTTGCATGAAACAACATTTACTAACTGCAAATGAGGAATGTCGGAGGAAGCCTTTATCAGCTTCATGTATTGTTAAATTTATGTTAGGACATATTATTTTGTAGGATGCAGTGAGAGATGCTTACGTAAAACTCAAAAAAGATGTTGTTGTCAGGGTACTGGTAGGTGAAGGAGACAGAGCCCTGTTTCTCAAGATGGACAGCGTAAACCAAAGATACTGTACATTCATCACGGTTTGACTCCAGATACACACCCTGTGGCGTCCACGATGAGCTGCAACAGCAAAACACACTCAGCAAAACAGCAAAAACCAAAAAGGCTGTGTATCATAATTTTGTAATTTAATTAATCTGTACTGATCTATACTGATGACAATGCACTAGCTCCCTTGTACAGATGTCTGCGTGAAATTAAACAGTGGCTCTCACAGGACTTCCTTCATTTGAATGAGGGGAAGACTGAATACATCGCTTTTAGCCCAGACTCTACTCACATTGTACCTGGCCTAGGAGTTTCAACCTCTTTATTCACTCAAACTGTGAAATATCTAGGAGTGTTATTTGATAGCAGCCTCAAATTTGACAAGCAGATTAGCTCTGTGGTCAAAATAAGCTTCTTTCAACTGAGGCTCTTAGCAAAGGTAAAGCCCTTTTTATCTCGAGTCGACCTAGAAAAAGCCATACATGCTTTCATTAGCTCGTGACTTGACTAGTGCTATATTGGAATTAACCAGTCTCTCCTCTGTAGGCTCCAACTCCTACAGAACACTGCTCACCTTCTGTCAAATACTCCAAAGTATGCTCACATCACCCCTGTCCTTCACTCTCTTCACTGGCTTCCAGCACAGTATAGAATTGATTTTAAGGTTTATTGTTCGTGTTCAAGGTCATTAATGGCCATGCTGCAGCCTATTTGACTGATCTTTTAACTATTCATACCCCGATCAGAGCGCTGCCTTCCTCTGAGCATTTGTCTCTGGTTGTCCCGCAGACAAGTAATTTGTAATATGTTTTGCTGTGAAGCACTTTGAGTGCCCTCAGGTGTTAAAAAGCGCTATATAAACAAATAAATTAAATTCAAACTAAATAAAATATGCTTTTCTGTCTAATGTGTGGGAATGGCAGTGTGTGTGCCACCTGTTACAGGCCTGAATGTCATCTCCATTCAGCCCAGGGTCCAGGAAGCTGGTCAGGCTGGTGAAGCCTGCAGGGATGGTGTCCCACTGGTCAAAACGAAGTCCACTGCCCAGAGAGTAGGAGCCCGCTGCACACGGTGTGCACTGCTGAGTGGACATCTCTAAAAACTTTCCAGCCGGACAGGAGAAAGCTGTGCAATGGGGGAGAGAGTCATATTAATATGAGAATATACAGAACCCCCCCCCCAACACACACACAGGCAATACTCACAGCAGTCTGTTCCTCTGGTTGGAGGTGGAAGGTCTGAGCAGGAGCCTGGACTTAGAGGGATGGCGACCCTCCATCGTGACCCTGTGCTGTCACACTCCGTGTACTGGTAGTAGTAGTCAGTCTGCAGAGCACACACAGATTAATACAAAGCTCAATACACCGTCATAAATCTGTGTTTTTAGCCATGCTGGTAGCAAGTGGCTGGACTTGCTCTAGGGTTACCAATGTTTGGTCCAACAACTACTGGACTGTTATGAAATGATGGACAGACATTAATGGTTCCCACTGAACAAACTGTACTGCAGCTGGTCTCAGAGTTTTCATCTAGCACCACCAGCAGGACAAGGTTTTCCTGTGAAATAAGTCAACATCTAATTCTAAACAGATTTGCAAAAAGGACTGTGTCCTTTTGAGAGAGATGAGACAAACAACTATTGAAATGGACTGCAATGAAATTTGGCATTATTGCCCCTTCAAGATAAATAAGTTTGACAGTCCTCTGGCTTTTCATCTAGTGTGACCATCAGCATTAGTTTATGACCAAATCCTGCTAAATTAATGGCATTCCCCCCAGCTTCAGCTGTGGGAAATGTGTTTACTTCCAATTAGCAAATGCTAACCTGCTAAACTAAGATGGCAAATTGGAGGCTGTAGACTCTTTATATTGCTATCCAATCAGGACATGAATATGCAAAAAATAGCCTGCATTTGTGTGAATTAACTTACAACATGACACTCTGAAGGGTTAAAGGCACACACACGCAGAGGGCAACAGTCCTGTTTACTCTCACTAGTCATGACTAAAACCACAGATGTAAACACAACACAACCCTCATAGTGACCCTACATCTCCAGTTCACCTGGAAAACCAGTTCCTCCAGGAAACAACACTGGACACACATGCTTTGGTGCGGGCATGAACTGCCATATTAATGGAAACAGAAGCTGATCAGAGAATAGGAGCCAGCTGAGAGGGAACAGTGGAGGAAGGGGCCGACCCTGGTCACCACAGTAACCAACCGCTGGAGCACTAATGGTCCAGCTGTACAGTCGCTTCTTTCCAGGGACTACTTGTTCATGGCATTATGCTCATCATTTGGATTGACTGAACAGAAGACAACTGAGCCTAGAAGCTTCAGCTCAAGTTTCTTGCAGTATCATGGTGGATTTTGAGATATGCATTGTCCTAATGAAGAATCGTCCTTCTTTTGTGCTAAACTGTTTTACATGTATCACAATTACAATTTAATTATGGTCAAGTTCCCAAAATTACATTTTAAAAAAGGCTGATTTTTAACATCTGTTTGATGCAGGGACTAAAATCAACAGCTTTTAGTGAGTTTGTCTAGTGATGGTCTAAATGCAGGACACTTTCCACTCTGACAAAGAATAAAATTTGTGGTGGAATTTTTAAACATGTTCTGGATGTTTTAAGACAGTTTTTGGCATTCACTCAAGTGTCAGACCAAAAGGATGAATCTCTCCTGATGTCTGCAATAATCCTGAAACATCTAGTCCCACAGGCTCCTGACTCAAAGGCTGGCTTGTCATGCCACTGAATTTTATCCCCTATCCCCTCTCTCTGCTTCTGATAGGTCTCCATGACAACCAGTGTGATTCACCCAGGAGACCAGCGAATCACATCAGCCCGTGTCCTTTTTAATCAGCCTTATCTCTTCCCCCACTGTCAAAACATTAGTGCAGGAGCCAAACCTTGTTTGTCCATTTACACAGAAAGAGGCTGGCTCTACAGTGCTACATGTTAACATGGAAATCCACTATTTGTATGTTTGTTTGTTTGTGCTCAGCATGAATGGCCATGTTTGTTGCCATGGACAAGTGATTAGTCATTTCAAATGACTTGGAAGTATTTGAACATCTGCCATTAATTTCCCAGTGCATACATTGCAGGTCATTTCTGTGATTATTCCAGTTTAATTGGCTGCTACAGTACTTCGATGTGCTGTTCTGCTGCAGCCTGCTGCTGGATTGTTTGCCCAGCTGAACAGCAGGTTTGGGGGAGGAGATCTGGGTATGTGCCAGAGCAAGGCTTTGCATTCTGGAATTGCATTGAAAGTACACAGCAAACTATAATTGCAGCTGTTGGTGCCTTGATTTTTTACAAGAATTGCATTTAACTGGAAAGTGATTTTGTGGAAATTTAAATAAGTTGCTTATTAACAAACACAAGAGAAAGCACAGCACATCCATGGAGTAAGAGAGGAAAGTGCATGTCAAAATACCAATGGATACAAACTTTTTAAATGGGCTTATAAGATGTAATTAATGGTCAACATCATCGTTGATAACTCAGTTAAAAGCCATTAATAATAACTACTGGGTTGCCAGGCTGTGGAACCCCCCCCTCCAGCAATGACACTTTTGTATTTTTACGTAGTGCTTTGTTTCATTAGGGAAACTGTTTGAAAAAGGCTGCACATCTGGACCAAATTTTGTTTATAAACTGCTTATTAACATTTACAGTATAGCTACAAATCTAACAAATTATGTTATTATGTGCATATTATGTATAACATTTACAGGTTATTATATAACTTTATATATATTATTTATTTACAGGTGACTAACTGTTGCTGAAATTCATTACCCTTTATTAGTAACATTTAAAACTGCAGACGTGGCGGCTCTTTAAAAGCGAGCAAAGTGCTGGAGGCGGATTCTCCACAACCTGGCAACCCAAAGCTGTTACTATTGGCTCATAATTGATCTGTGAAACAAATTATTTGGCTACAACATATGAAGTCTCATCATAAAGTGTAACAGATGTTTTCATCTACCTTCTGGCAAGACCTTATATTCCACAATGCCATACAATTCAGTTTAAATGGGCTGCAAATTTAATATTGAGCTAACCTATAGTCTACATTCTAGTATGGAAAATAAGGTAGTAAAATTTGTAATAGCAGCCCGTCTGTGACGTCGTCACTTGGCCTTGGAGCGACAAGAAAAACCTCCTGGGAGTTCTGGAAATACCTGGATCCGCAATTTCAGTTGATGTAAATTACGCACAACCTATGTGATACTGCAAGCTACTTCTACTGTAATTGGCGTAGCCCTGTTTGCTTGGATAACACAACGGCCTGACACCACACAGCCCGGCTGGACGGCTGCAGACTTCTCAGAGGAAGGATGGAGGCCAGCAGACAGTGTCCTCTCGTTATGGAGCGCGTTTACGGCCAACATGAACCTCATTTTAAGGCGATCAGCGTGAAGAGGACCGTAAACACTAAATCCACACACTACTGAGCCAATTTAAAGATGAAAAAACACTGTAATTTGTGATTTTATGGCGCATTTGGAGAACCCTTTGGCTCTAATCTGGATGCGTATTGCTGTATGTAGAGCCATTTTCTTGACTTGATCATCGCTTTAAAATAGGTGATAAACATGTAAAATATATGAGAATGTTGATTAAAAAGACACAAATACACATGTTGCCTTTTATAAGCACATTTGTGTTGTGATGCTGTATCGGGATATTAGGAGATAGAGCCAATAAACAGTAGAGCACTCACTTCATCGCACGGCCGCAGGTCTCTGTCGGCGGACACTGATGATGTGTGCGCGGTGATGATGAGTAGAAGGCAGCGGGGGAACCAGGAGGCCAACACCTGCTCCCGCATCCTCAGCTCGGATCACGAACAGCCGGCTGTCCGCTGCCTAGAGCCAGAACCATGAAACAGGCAGAGTGCTGAGGGTATGTGTGCTGACCCTGTCATTGATGCACCTGTTTGTCCGTCTCCTTGACGCACTCTCCTCCACCCACACCACTGTTAATCCACACAGTTCATTAATAGCATTTCCGGCCCAGGATTTCAAAATAAAAATGCTCCCGTTTCCTATCATTATTGATTACCATTGTCATCCTTTCCTGTATTTTAAATGACTTTTTTTTTTGTTTTTTTTTTTACTTTGCAAACATTTGTACGGAAGACCTTATATTTTTCTCAATGTATGATTCTAGTGAGAATTTTAATATGTTTTGTGACTTATAGCTACTAAACCAGCATGGATATTGTCTAACAAATGATCTGATTAATCGATTAGACATAAACTTGGTGGGCAACTATTTTGGTAATGAATTCACTGTCTAAAGTAAATCGTATGTGCTCACAATGTCACTCACCTGTATGAAGATGATTTTACACTTATGTACAGTTTCATGGTATGGCTAAAATAAAACTGTGTTGTTCCTCACTGCGAGAAAAGGAGACAACGTGAGAGTTAGGTTGAGGAGGCAATCTGTTTGAAATGTGTACTTAGAAAACGATTTATTGGATTTATTTATTTATATAATTTGTTGTTTTCTCTTTGTAACATTTATTTTTCTTTATGTGTAGCTGTTTATAAATGCAATAAAAATAACTATTAAAATAAATGAAAAAGCTGAAATGAGTGAATGTATGTATAATTGTATAAAGTATGAAACATTAAATATGCATGTCATAACTTTTATTTAAGTCTGTAATGTAGCCCGTGTATCAGTCTTTACTGGTTTTGGAAGTATAAACTGTTAGGATTCTTCAATGCTATATTCCTTGCCATTATGCAACCAATCGGTATTTTTTGGTTTTCTTTTCTCGGTTTGGGGGATTTTCAAATAGGAAGTAACTATTTGTTCCTTTACCTGTAGGTGGCAGTAGTAGAGGCAGCATACGGCAGGTCTGTAAAAAAAAAACACGAAGAAGAATATATCTCGGATATGACGTAAAAGCGAAATCAAAACAGTCAAAACTTGACAGCTCGATAATGTCCCGCAGAATGCTAATAAAATGCAATGGAAAATGTTACTGCCAGTGTTAAAAATAAACTACACTATGTAGATAACGACTCTGGAGACCGGGGCAACGTTTATTGGACTGTCGAGACATGCTAACTCGAGGAAAGGGCTCTGTTTTTTGGCTAGTTCATCTAGTAGCTGTAGGAGCTCCACTCTAGCTAGCTGGTTAGCTCCTCGGCTAAAGAAAGTTGCTCCATGGCTATATGTGGGCTGAACATTACCATATATAGACCGGCCACAGAGCTCCCTCGCTGGTGAAATGTAAACTGTATGTCGCTGACAAAGGGCAAGCAAAAACAAAACTCAGCCTGGAAGAGAAAACACTAGCGCGCTGGCTTCAGCATGTCATCTGACCAGATTATTGCCATCGTCATGGATGACAAAATCTACGAGGTGAATAAAAAGAAGCTGATAGAGAAAAGCGACTACTTCCGTGCACTGTATAGCTCTGGCATGAGGGAGTCCACAGAGGACTCGGTGCAGCTGCAGGGGCTCAGTGTCCTTGGCCTGGAGCTGGTCCTGGAGTTCATCAACACCTCCAAAGTTCAGATTGTCAACGAGACTCTGGAGGACTTGATTGAGACCGCCTCCTTCTTACAGGTCACCTCCATCCTCAAACTCCTCACCTCGGAAATCCGGCTGGACAACTGCGTGGAGCTGTACAGCCTCTCTGAAATTTATGGGACTCATGATCTGCATAATGCGTGCCTCAAATACATGACCTGCTACTATCATCCCATGCTGAGGCGGCCTGAGTTCAGCAGCCTGCCCTCTGCTGTCAAAGACCAAGTCAGGGAGATGCGTATGAAAGGCACCGCCACCCTGGTGGCCATCGGAGACTTCACCTGCCTGTCCCTGGATGTGCCTGATCAGGATGAACCCTGGTCCATGCTGAGGTATGGAGAGGTGGAGCAGCGCTGGAAACCACTCGCAAACAACTTGCCACCAGACATGATCAACGTCAGAGGATATGGATCAGCTGTTCTCGATAACTATCTGTTCATAGCCGGTGGATACAGGATGACAAGTCAGGAGATCTCTGCTGTGCACTGCTACAACCCCTGTAGGAACGAGTGGAACCTGGTGGCTCCACTCAACCAGAAAAGGTAAGTCCAGGGCTACAGTACTGTGCAAAAGTTTTAGGCACTTTAACATGTGTAGATTCTTATTTCTTCATGCAGTTGCATCAGTGAGGTATCGGATCAGCAACAAATTTATTCTGTGGTATGATGAGACCACACATACAGCCAGAGTCATTAAAAGCATTCTTCAGCCAAGCAGAACAGTACTGCAACAGGTGATGTGGCCCTAACAGAGCTCTGGTCTTAGCATCAGGGAATCAGTGTGGGATTACATGAAGAGACAGAAGACACTGAGAAAGAAATTCTCCAAGATGCTTGGAACAACCTACCTGCCAAGTTCCTTACAAAACCTGGGTTAGGACTGAGATTTTCTCTGTTTATTGCACTTTGTATTAAGTTCATTGATAAAAATCTATTCATAGCATTATTTTTGAAAAGTATCCTCACTTTGCTTTTAGTGTCTAAAGCTTCTGCACTGTCCTGTACATACTTTCTGTAAGGGGTGAGTTGTCTGTCAGTAATTGTTTCACTTCCCGTGTCATCTTCTTCAGGTCCAACTTCAAGCTGCTGGCAGCACAAGGGAAGCTGTATGCTGTGGGAGGCCAATGTCTGGGAACAGTGGAGTGTTACAGCCCAGAGCAGGACTGGTGGGCCTGTGTGTCCTCGATGCCTGACCCGCTGGCTGAATTTTCTGCCTGCGAATGCCAAGGAATGATCTATGTCATGGGTGGATACACTGCAAGAGGTTTGTATAAGTCAGCGGTTACTGAAGTTACAATGGACAGGGCTGGTGGTTTGAGTCCTGTTTTGTCCATTCGGTAATCCCAAACAGAAAGGTACTGAATTACAAAGATGGACAACAGAAATAAATTGCAAATCCTCACAGCGAAGAAGTTGGAAACACAAAATGTTGGACTTTGTGGCTTGAAAAATGACTTGAAACAGTAAAATCCAACAATCTATTAGCTGTTTCTAAACCCAAAATAGAGTATTTTTAGTGATTATATCTAGACTGTACTACACAGCAGTGTAGAAGCTACAGCTAAATCAACAGTAATGTGCAATCACTGCTTTAGCATCACATGCGTTAGCACATATATCAAATCAATTATAAGGGCTTTGGCTTTGGTGGGTGCACAGGATGTTAGAAGTAGCCTAATTAATGTTTTGATATTTTTTGTTTTTAGTGATCAATGAATTGTATTCCTACAGGAGAAAGAAACAAGTCATTGAACTGCTGCTTCTTTGAGCTTAACATGTGTATCCTGTGTCTGATAGATAGGAACACAAACGTCCTCTGCTACTGCCCCACCTCAGACACCTGGATGGTGTTTAAGTCTTGTTCAGCACACATACGCAAGCAGCAGATGCTCTCGGTGGAGGACACCATCTACCTGGTGGGTGGATACACTCACGAGCTGGAGGCAGGCCGGCGGCAGCGGCGTCCCAGTCAGACAGAGGACGTCCTAACGGTGCAGTCATACAACATCACCACAGGGGAGTGGATCCAGCTAAAGGAGAACACGTCCAAGTCAGGCCTGAACCTGACGTGCACGCTGCACAACGACGGCATCTACATCATGAGCCGGGATGTCAGCCTGCCCACCAGCCTGGAGCACCGCGTCTTTCTCAAATACAACATCTTCTCCGACGCCTGGGAGGCCTTCAGACGCTTCCCAGCTCTGGGGCAGAACATGCTACTCTGTTCGCTGTACCTCCCCAACGTGCTCTGACTGAGAGGGCTGATGGGAAAGACTTCCATGAACAGACAGTGGAGCCATTGCAGCATTAATATAGGTGTCGCTTTCTTTTTCTTGCACAGAATGGTGCCCTTTGGGAACAGTGTCTGGTTGCTAGGTTGAATGCCTTGTGACCTCTGTGCCTACAAAAAACAAACAAACAAAAAAACACACTACAATGTATGCAACAGCTGTGGATACAAGCAGAAAAGCTACAATAACACGTATGAAAGCGATCAACAACTAGCCCCAGTTTGTGCTTCTCACGTGTTAGCATTAACACAAGTATTGTCATTCCTAAGTTATTTCCAGAATCCTAAAAGACTCTTTCAGTCATTAGAATGGAAAGTATTATTCATGCTGTGTCCAGGTGCCATCTTTGTTTGGGTTAGGAAACAAATTTGGAGTTTTCTAGTATTCCGCAAATAGCAACAGAGCAGTGATGTGGGTTGTTTATTGGCTTTCTGGGTACTATAAACAGTGTCGCTAATTATGCTTGATGGCTGCCACAGTGACTAATACGTTAGAGGCAAAACTGTGGCTACATGACAGCTTGCTTTTAAATCTATGGGCCACAATATTCCTAATGTTTACACTCCAAAAATGGCACTGGTGTACAAGATTATCTATAATTCATTGTAAACCTCAAACTATCTCAGAAACAAAACACATTTCTCAACTTTATGTTATAGCAGGATAAATGGCTTTGGTTTTACACTGCCAGTTTTATGGGAATTATAGGTTCCTTGATCCCCTTGTTTGGGATGTGAAGCAGCTCAGAGGGAGCTTTGTGTGTTTTATGTACACTTGCACACTTGTCTTATTTCCACAAATACACTAAGTAAAGCTTAAAGAGCAATTCTATGAGACTAATGATGCACATGTGCCTTCTGCAAACTCAGTTGATAGAAACTTAATATTTAAAAAAAGCACAAAATGCAAGACTTTGTTACATTGCCAGCAACCGACCAAAGCTGCTGTTTGTTTTTTTTCTCTCTGCTGAAGCAGATTTTATTTTCATTAAGGCACTTTTCAGTTCTTTGGGTGTGCAGGCTTAAGAACTCAGCCTCAAAGCAGCATTTTTTTCTGAAACTTGTGAAGTTTTGGTTAAACACAGCACTTGACTTGGTGAATTTCAGCTTCTCTCTGCATTTGTTTGACAGTTTGGAAGTTTTGGTCATGATAATAAAGATGATGTTCAGGGGTCTGTTTGATGTCCTGTTTTTGAATCAACTTTACTAACTTTGTACTGTTATTACTCCACAGTCTGCTTGTTTGGTGTCTTTTTTTTTAAATAAATTCCAAATCAACTGAGAGCATAGGCCATTCATCACATAGATAATCTGTGATTATCATGTCTTTCCAAAACATTATTGGCCCATGTGACCAAGAACATGACTTAGGAGTAAGTCCTGCCTTTGTAGGTCACTGTGCTCCAGTCCTCCTGGGAAAACCTGGCTCAAATGACCCAGCCGATCTGTACCCCCCATGGGGATGCCTGTTGGTTCTCCACATTATGTTGCCCCTGTAAGGAGTTGGAGAGGTTACACTTGTCAGAGAGGTGACATGCACAAACAGGTTAGGTGGAGGGGGTGCACAGTTGTCCTGTGATCCTGTAGGTGAGGATCAAGAGGTTCCTTTTTGTCCCAAAATCTCCACATGTGGAAAAATCAGAGACTGAGAAACTGTCAAAAAGTAGTAAAAGGTTATCAGACAAGTTAAAAACATAACTCAGTGCATACATAAATAATAATGTTAAATAATTAAAATGAAAACTTTTTCCTGTATACAATAAAACACATGAAAATAATTTTGCTCTATAATTTAATTAGCTCATTTTAATTTTAAACTCATTTTTCTAGAGTTGTACTGATATATATGGAAAGTGTGTGGAGACTGATATACCCTCCCGCATGTGTCCAAATCATCAAATATAATTCTCTTTTTGGTATACTTATAGTATTGTTTGTATGTTTGGAATATTTACAAAGATAACGTTTAAATCCCTGAAAAATATTGTGAGGCTGAGGCTGAAACATTCAAGCGAAGAGACAAGAAGCGACCAGCAGGGGGCAGCACATGCTTTTTAAACGTTAAATACTGTATCTCAGTAGACAAACTGTATTATCCACTTCACCTTCATAAGGACTGCTCCCCACAAAAAATATTACACATTTTCTAAAAGTGCTCTTCCATTTCTTTTTATATTTACATGCATTTTCTGGAAAATAAAATCAACTCATTAAATGTCCCAACAGGTAAGAAATGAGCAGAATGCATTCTATTGCATGGGCCCTTTGATGCCTAAAGGTTGATTCATCACTGTTACAGAAATGTGTCGTCATCTAGAGGTCAAACACAGATGGATATTTATAGTTTCTGTTGGGATGGATGGATGCCACAGGGGTGGCAGAGGAAATCAATTGCAGCCATCAGCGGTCCAGACTGATCCTGTGTTTAGGGTCAGATCACAGTGATCCATTTCATACCTCCACAGTGGGGACACAGAGGGTGGTTGTGTTTGTGTGTTGCAACATCACAGCACAAAGGATATGTCTGATGTGACGCTGTACTGGAGCTACATTGCTTCTTGTGTTTCCCGTGCTGAGAGTCAGCTGAGAAAACGTACTCTATATTCGGAGGTGATCATTCCTCTGTGTTGAGTGTATGATGGAAAGAGGAGGGCTCAAAGGATAGAGAGAGAGAGAAAGAGAGAGAGAATACAGTCCTGAAGGCAGAGATATGAGTGAGAGAGAGAGAGAGAGAGAGAGAGAGAGATCCAAGGACAGACGGCACTGAGGGGAGGGGAGAACACATCTCAGTCACACCTACCCCACAGTCTCACATAGCCTCTGTAGGAGACAGAACAGATCTTCATATTCTGAAGAAGATGCATGTGCACATCAGAGGAGTATCAGGGCAGGACAATAGCTCCTAAAGCTGCTGAGACAAATACATGACAAGGACTACAAGAGAGATAGCTCAGCAAGCCCAGAGGTAAGAACAGCAGCATTTCAGTGAGGGCCAAACGGGGTGGAAGAGGCAACATTTGCTGATTTATTCAGTTGCTAAGATCCTTAAAAAGGACCTAAACAGGAACTCTAAGAAGCTGCCTTTTGGGGTTTCTCCTAGTCTCTGCACAGGGACATCCTGGTGTCTGCAGAGAGCTCCCAGTGCTGCTGCTGTGAGGTTACAGTCTCTGTGCTTCTGTGTACAGCACCAGAAAAGACTGCTTTATAGTCCAAGACTATGAGTGAGGCAAAGAAAGGTGAGCTAGCCATTCAGGATAAAGCCATCCTGCACCAGCAGAGGCGTCTGAAACAGGCCACCCAGTTCACACATAAGGACTCAGCTGACCTCCTGCCCCTGGATGGGCTGAAGAGACTGGGCACGTCCAAAGACTTGGTGAGTGAATCTCAGTGAGCACCTGAGACAATCGCTTGATAATTTACTGTGTGTTGCCAGGTACTTAGCAGTTGTTTAGGTGGGAAAAAAGTGTCAGAATTGTACGGGATCTATTAACACATCTGACAGCATTTGAAAGAAACAGTGCAAGGTGTTAAAGTCATATTTAAAAGAGTACTCCACTTGTTTAGCTCTGCACTTCCATAACACCATGATGTACAGTTAAAAACAACCGATGCAGCAGAATCAGGCATTTGTCTTTCTTGACAAATCTCTAACATACATCAACCACATTGCTTCTCTACCTGCTGACTGTTAAGCTGGAGAGCTGGGTGTGCTATGCTCGTAGTTTATCAGATTTTGTGCAAGGCTTTAAAACATTTCACATATGCAATAGCACTTCCCAAGATTTGTAAACAAATTTTGGTGTGGAAAAATGATGGAGCGTTCTTTTAATCATCTTACTGCCATCTTGTCAGCCATTATTCTCCTTATTGTTGCAGGGGATTATTCTGCTGATCAATCACCCTATCCCTCTGATCAAGTATTCTGCTCATTATCTGCTCACATAATCAACCAATTAAATTTATAGTGTCAGAAAATATTAAAAAGTGTCTATCCCATTTACCAGAGTCTGAGGGATTGTCCTCAAATGTCCTATTTCATCTGATCACATTAAATAAACTGTAACTATTAAGTTCTTTGTTATTTTTGGTTAAAATTTGAATGAAACAATTCATTGTCAGCGATAAGCATAAGCTCCGAACAGATGAGCATGCTACGACCACCATTATGCTTTTTGTATTAATGCATTACTGCTGCCATAAAGAGTAGATTTGAAAAGCTAATTAGTTGTATAAAGGGTCATGAAAGACTCAGTCCTGCTCTCTGCATACAGAGGAGGGAACGTCAAGTCAGAGATGGTTAAAGTGCTCGGTGTAGGGCATTCAGGGAGACATACACATTTTAGGGTTGACATATAGGATAAAAAACTGTTCTGCAGAAGGGGACATGTCCACCTCTATACCTTCTCTCCCCCCAGAAGCATAAACCGAAGCAGTTCTATACACTCTGGGGGAACTCCCTGTAACAATCTTAACGATTTATTACTCGACCTCTCCTCTGACACAGTTCTGGTTTGACAGCCTGTCAGATCTCCCAGAGCTCTCCAAGAACCTCGACACAATCACTCTGGCACTGGGAAGCAGAACTAGCAGTGCTCTGTAAATATCACACTGTGATCCATTTATGCACGCCAGCTTTTAATGCCAACATTTGCTGCTACAAAAACAATCCACACTCCTGCTCTTCTCTCCCGTTCTCCTTCTTACATCCATTCAAAGTTAATGCGTCAAATGTAAATGCAGCATGCTAACATGCTAAGCTGCAGAGCGCCCAGTCTTTTCACTTGAATAAATAAGATTCTTTGTTTTTATATCAGTCGATATTGAATATTTTTGAGTAATCTGAAGTCATCACACTGTTTAGTGCCAACTATAAAATATTAGCATGCTAACATGATAAACTATAGAACCACAATTATTTTATTTTGTAGCTCGTGGTCTCCATAAACAAAGGTCAAACTATAAATGTGAGATCTGTCACAATAAATTGATTTTTTAAAAATAATTTGTCTGATAAAATAACAGGATTCATTGATTGATGAGGCCATGATAAAATAATGTCAAGATATGATTCCCAAGTCTATCCATCTACTAAATTCAAGGATTTTAATGTACAAGTCATCCACTGGCAGCAGGTGACTCAACAACCCCTGCAGGGGCCTGAAAACCTTCTAACCATAATGCTAATTATCTTCTCCTTTAAGGCAGAATGAAGCTCATCTGATTGAAAACACAATCTGTGGTGCACACATGGCCACAGGGAGCACAGTGCAACTTGCATAGCATCTGCACCAAATGATTTTCATTGCTGGAATAACTTTGGCAACTTGAGGGAGGAGTGGGAAATGCCAGCAGTTCTCCATCACTGGCTGTATCTGTTTTCTGCACCAACATTCAGGCTCTGAACAGACATCCATCCATTATCTATACCATTTATCCTAAAGAGGGACGTGGGGCCCTGGAGTCAATCCCAGCTGACACGAGGAGAGAGGCAGGGTCCGTGACAGACAGGTTGCCGATCTGTCACTAGGCTGACACATAGAGATAGACAACCACACACACCCACACTCACTCCTACGGCAATTTAGAGTCGTCCAAACAGACATGGATGGCTTCAGAAACAATGTGTTTCTGAGGTGGCTCACATGCCAATCAGATGAAAGATGCAATCTTCTGAATAAGGCTGTCAGACTTGTTTGTTTGTCTGTAGGCCATCTTGCTATAAATCAGTCTTTGCTTTTTACTATGTAGGTCCTAGTATTTATTATCTAATTACAATGAGGACTTGAGGAATTACTATTTTACTATTTGATATGTGGCCTCCACAAACAAAGGTCGTACTTAAATAGACTATTGTTTTCTTTTTTATCATTGTTTAGCTCATTTATAGGATTCATTGCTGGACAGATGTAAGCATGTGTTAATTCAGAAGTAAAATCTATTATCTTAGGTATTTAAAGTAAAATGAAATAATTTCTTAAGCTAAAATGTCAAACTTTCTCTGGTTGAAGCTTCTCACGTGTGAACATTTGCTGCTTTGACCTGCTTTCTACATTTGGAGTTGAATATGTTTCCATTTGTACTGTTGGTCAAACATAACAAGCAATTCGAAGATACTAGCTTGGATTATGAGAACATTTTCTGACATTTTATAGTCTGAACTATTTATTATTTAGCCTAACCTCATTGATATAACACAACAATTAAAACCTCTGTCTGTATAATGCAGTACAGTACAACAGTAGCACAAACTACAGTCAACTACAGTTGAATCAACATGTCTATTAAACCATTTGAACAAAAAAATGAACATTATCACGTTCAGGAAGGAGGATTTACAACAAACTATTCTATTACAATGACTTAGATTTAGCTGGGTGTTTTTAACAAACCGTCAACTTGTAAATGTTGAACAGATTAATATATTAGTTATTCATCACAAAATAGTAACACCATATAGCTCCTTTATACATTTCTGTTTATGTACAAATTATACTAGAAATGTTAATTAGTGAAATTTAAAGGTGCTAATATTTGCTTCTTTTTTTTTGCTAATACCCAAGCTAGCTGTTTTTCCTTGGCTCTAGTATGTATGCTAAGCTAAGCGAACTGCCTCCCAGCTCTAGATGAAATATGTTTATTAAATATGCTGTTTTTTTATTTATATCTTCTAATCAACAACTGGCCATTTTACATAATTTTACACGCCAACTGTTTCATAGTGGTATTATATTATCAGCCAACGCTCCGTCAGAAAGCAAAGAAGGCAGATTTATAAATGTCAAATCATTTGTTCTCTTTTCAAATTAATGGTCTACTGTGACACCCTACTTTTAAAATCTGTACAAATTTTGTACAATTGTAGGGTTTGAGACATTTTTGTTAGTGCCTGAGCTCCAGTCAGACATTTTATTTGTAAGCTTGTCTTCTCTATCTTAATTTCTGCTGGCTGGCCTGTCCTGCCCAGTGTGTTATTCACCAGAAGAGCCTGTTATGTAAGAGTGAATTTGTTTTGCTGCTCTCTAGCCTGAGGTCCTCTCAACAGCAGCAGCATCACTCCAGCCACGCTGTGTTGCAGAGTGAGGGGAGCAGTGAGCATGAAAAGGGCAACATCCACTGCTCTAATGCAAGAAGGATAGCAGGGAAGGAAAGAGATGACTGGAGATGGGGTCAGGAAGGATATGTAGTTTAGTTGTGCTGTTTTATGTAACACAATGTAAGGCTTTGAACAGATACACGGGAGCAAAATTTGAGAGCAAACCAGAGAGAATGAGCACATATAGTATATATTTGTTTGAGGGATTGTGCTGGAAACATCTCAGCCTAATTACATCAACACCTGAGCTCACATGGATCAGATTACGGTGTAGATACTGAGTAACCTCACTGTTTTCCACTGTACACATGTAACTATGAGGGAGAAAATTCAGAAGAAACATTTTAAAGCAGCAAAGCTAGCTTTTGCTGCAGAGTATATCCATAAGACATTTTAAAGGCCAACTGCATTACTTTTATGATGAAGCTTTTTGTATATCTTTCCAATTTCACTTGTTTCCTTGAATTTTAGTCCTGTCGGTTTAGAAAGGCCTTTTGCGATTTAGGTTATCAAACTGAGTGAAACTCATTGAAATCTTATTCTTTCTTTGCAGCTTTTGATGACAAGTCGATGCAGTTTAAAGCTGGTTATAAAGGTCCATTTCACCCAAATTGATTTCAACTGACAAAAAAGTTTCAACAAGGGATAACAAGTGACTCTTACTCAGTCCAAAGGTAACAAAGTCTCCCTACAATCACCTCTAAAGCTCACTATTGACACTGCTATTCTAACTAACGATTCAGTAGGAAAGCAGATAAATTAGATTTCCAAATGTCAAATTAGTCCTTAAATACTGAAATGAATGGTCTGCTGCTACAACCTGCTTTTAAAGTCAGCTAAATATCGGTATAATCGTAGGTTCTTCATTAGTGCCTAAGCCACACAGACCTGCAGCTCAGCTGTCTGTTTGCTCATGTTCCTTTTACAGATGAGTGAGCCTGAAGCCTGTGTGTGTGTGTGTGTGTGTGTGTGTGTGTGTGTGCCTTTGTATTACTTACATTATAGGGACTGATTGGAGTCTCCATGTACTTCTGAGGATAATCAAAAGCTACAAAACTTGGCCTGAATGTAGAACTGTGGTACAGCAGGAGCTGGAAAACATGACCAGTTCCTTTGTTGTCCCTTAAATGCATCTTCAGTTCTGGTTTATTAAACGCTGAGACTCATTTTAGTCAATACACCTTGTTAACACATTTCCAAGATGGTTTAAAACCACATGTTTTAATTTGGTGTCCTTTCAAAAGGTCATGAATTTGTGCAAGCAGTTTGTGCACTGTGCA